AAACGATAGACGCTGCTAATTTCAAAATTTATATATATATATATATATATATATATATATATATGTGTGTGTGTATGTGTGTTCATGTGTGCGTGTGTATAAGTGTACATATTGTGATTCATAAAATATGGCAATTTATATGTCTGTATGCACGCTCATGTGCAAATTTTCTAGCAAATTTTAGCATTGCTAAGGAGCATGCTTGCTTGATCGATGACAACCGAAATTATGCTGTCAAAATGTTTACGGAAGAAAAAAAAATGCAGCAGATTTTAATTTGGCGGTGCCGCTTAAAAAAAAAAAACAAAAAAAAAAAAACTGAAAAAGTTAACTAAAGTTTTGAACGAGAGGGAAGCCGGCCTACATTTGCTCGCATTAAACTTAACGTTTGTTGTGACGAGTTCAATAACAGTTGGAAAATATTGGCTTTTCTTTTCTTTTTTTTTTCCCTTTACCCCTCTACCCAAAGAAATTGATGATCGGAGAACCAAAGGTCAATATTTTTACCATTACATTAAGTTAACGTCGGAAAGATCGATACGCAATGAGTTTCGATGAAGATTTAAATCCATCAGGGAGGGGATATTGTCAAAGACATTCGCATACAGAAAATATATAATGTGAAGCTGGGCGCCAGGCCGTGATAATAAGCTAGTCTCGGAAACCAATGCTATTGAAGGATGTTCAGAACTTAATGGTCACCCAACATTTGTGGCCTAGTGCTATGGTCAGCAGACTAATTTCGGAGTCTGTATGCAAATACTGGTCGCCTTTACAAGTGAATCGATCGTAAGAGCAATGAGGGAGAAAGCCGTTTCTTAACAGGGAACATTCGGAATCTATATAATTTAACTGATATTATAAGTATTATTCATTTTTATGTTTGCGTCTGTAGGCAAAATTGGTCGTGGTTATGCTTCTGTCTACAGAAAGACATAAATGGAATTTCTACTTGAGTCAATAAATAGACATAGCTCAATTTTATACTTATCACAATAAGTAAACCTTGGTGGGTTTTATACTTGAGTCAATAATTTGATTTAAATCGATTTTATACTTGAGTCAATAATGTTGACATTGGTCGGTTTTATACTTGAGTCAATAAATAGACATACATCGATTTTATACTTGAGTCAATAAGTAGACATAGACCAATTTTATATTTGATTCAATAAATAAAGATTGGTTGGTTTTATACTTCAGTCAATAAATTGACATTGGTCGGCTTTATATTAGAGTTTATAGGTAAACATAGAAAATATATTTGCGTGAGTATATAGTTAAGTACTGCTATTTATACATGATTTGATTGTAATAATAATAGTGCGATTAGACATTTTCATAGAGGACAGGCTCGACATTCTTTAGCCAAATAGTTACTATTGGTTGAAATACATAAAACGAAAAACTGATTTCAAAACGAATCGATTTAAACACAAATTTTAAACTAAAAACTCCCTCAATTTTCTAGCATTCTAATACAAACTTCACTCAATTGTATCCAAGAATAAATTAATTAACAATCATTAACTTGATAACCGAGTCCACCCATATAGAGAAAACCCGCCTAATTAGCGAAAAATGGCGAGTTTTACTGGTTTCTTTCTTATTTTTCGTTGATCTTTCAGCCAATTTTCATCAAACTTAACAATTACTTTATAAATGTATTCTCTTTTACATCCCTGGCAAATTGAATAATTGTGGTCTGAAGTGAGACTTCAGGTTGCCTGTTTTAGCCCTTCATGTCCTCAGCTAACTTCGATTGAATAAATACAGACTACTTCTGTTATATCAGTAACTGCATTAATTCAAAATGTTTTTTAATGGAAGGACTTTAAAATAATTGAAGACTGTTATATCTAAACATGATGCTGTTTTTGCACCATTCTAATTGAACGCTTTTTCTGATCGTCCAGAGCTGGGTATGGCTGCTAGTAGATAATCATTCTGATTTTTCTTTGGTTCCTTAGTCATTTTATTTGTACATTACACTCTCACAATACTTCATAAACGATGGAATATTTGGTCCTGTTTGCGAATGAAGATGGAAAAAACTAACCATAGTCGTTGTTTGGTTTCAGTAAGAAAAAGAAAGAAAAAAAAAGAAGCAATTTTTGCTGTTATCATCCCATTTTTTACCAGAGCTCATAATAAAGTAAGGCTTCAAGAACACCAGAAAGCTGTAACACGTGAGGAAGTGGAAGAATCACGCGTGGCTGACCACATATGGAGAGAAAAGGGAAACCATCGCCCTCTGTGGGATCAGGTTGAAATCATAAACAAAGAACATCATTGGTAAATTTAAGGAATTAACACATATGCCAGACCACAAAATCTCCTGAGCCGACCAAGCATAGAAATGAATACAATATGGGAACCAGTAATAAGGAGTGTCAGAGAAAAGCGATAATAACAACGAAAAATTGCAATATGAGCTCTGGTAAAAAAATAATTGCTGAAGACATTAGGTTTATAATACCAAGAAATTCATACACAGATG